GGAACAATTACTACCCGAGATGTGATGCAATTTTTGACACTGAAGGTATCAATGAAGAAAAACATTATTCTAAATGTTCAGTGTTAACGTGGGATTAAGTAAAGGAAGAGCAAAGTATCTATATCAGATACTGATGCTGTTGTCTAAACCAGGTGCAGAAGAGCATGCCTGTAATCCCAGATACGCAGGAGGCCAAGTCTGGAGGATCACAAGTTTGAGGCCAGCTTGGGCAAATTAGCAAGACTTCTCTCAGAAGAAAACATTTTAAAAAGTGCTACAAATATGATTGTGTGGTAGAGTTGGCTAACAAGCATGAGATGCTGGGTTCAAACCTCACTGCCTGCCACACACACACACACACACACACACACACACACACACACAATCATTAAGCTGAGGTGAGCCTAGTTTGGTAAAAATTTAGTTCAAATAAAAAAGTGGAATTCCCAAAGTAAGTTCTGAACACACAGAGCTTAAAAACAACAAGCAAACAAAACCCCATATTATCCATGTAGCATCCTGAAGGCAACCCTCCACCCCAAACAGAGAAGCCAGGTGAATGACTTGGACCCAGAGTTTAGGCACAAAATAATCCTCTGCCGCGCCTCCACTGCCACAGGCAGATTCTAAGGCTAGCACCAGCCAGAAAGGAGGTGGGCAGCCAGTGGCAAAGGAAAGCACATTTCTGACTCTTAGAAGGTTAAATCACATGAACATGCCCCTCTAAAGGTACATCCACTTCTCAGCTCCTCTGGGAGAAGGTAGGCCCAGGGTTAAAGCCAGATTTTGAAACTTTCGACTCTTAAATATATTTCTTCTACTTCAAAATGCTGGCATTTGATTCTTTTGTGAAAACACGGAAGAGCTGAATGTAGCCCACCCGTCAAAGCTCATGGACTCCCTTCAGGGGCAGTTCGTACATCCAAATTTATTCTGGATTAAATGATCACACAGACACGTCATATATCCATGGAAAAACCCTCTTGTTTATTTGATTAAACAAAAATAAAATAAGCTGCATAGGAACAATTTTAAAGTCCAAAGAGACACCAACTTTGTTTTAAGGCTGTAGTAGCTGATACAGCATCTCCTTGCTACCTTCTCCAGCCTTCTCTGTGGACCAAAGCGATACATTCAGAAGCCTGTGAGCTAATACAGGAGTTTTTGAACACTTTTCCATTGGTTCTTCATCTGCTCATTGCCTGTCATGCCTGCGGCCTGCAACATTAACATTTAAAGATTTAAAAGTAAAAGCCAAAGGGGGGAAGGGGGGAAAAAAACAAAGAAAAACCCACTTTTGTCTACTAAAGGTTTGGGGGAAAAATCTTGATTTCCCCACCCATCCACCAAGGCCAAGACCACTTAAAAAGTGGCAAAAGGCAGTTGGCACCCCACAAGGGCCGACAGTCTGCTTTGTGCAGCCAGAGAAGTTATTGTGGTGGTGCGTATTTCTCCTATCAGTTTGCCTGGAACAAATAATAAAAATTAGAGGTTTAATGTAAGTCAGTATGACTGACACCGGGCATAAGATCTGTGTTAGAATCCCCCAATCCTGCATTTATTTTTCCTTAAAACAAAAACAAAAACAAAAACAAAAACCTCAACCGAGTCACATATTCTATACAAAAAAAAAAAAAAGAGAAAGAAAATTAAAGCATTTTGCTGACCAGGCATGAGATCTAATGAACAATATTAAACAAGATTTATTAAAAAAAAAAAAAATACTAACAACCCTCCCACCCAACTGACTATACCTATCATGCTAGTTTAAAACATCCCTTTACCCACCCACCCTCATCTGCATTGACTTTAGGGGAAAAGGGGGGGAAAAAAAGATATCTTACCACCCTAAACACAAGAAAACCCCCTAAATGTGAAAAGTTCTTCCTCTGAAGACAACTACACAAACTGCTAGAAACATAAAGAACTATTACAGAGCTGGTTATTTAAAGAAAGTAAACACTTTGCTACACACGCCAACATTCAGCCAGTGTGCTCTGAGATAGCCTTAAGAAAAAAATACTACCTGAGCTCGTAAGTTAATACAATCATTAAAAGGAGGTCTAAGACCGTGTGGATACACAAAACTTTTAGAACCATTGCTGGTTAAATGATGATGGAGAACATCCCACCAGGCTGGCTTGTTAACCCGTAAGATCAGTTTTTTTTTTTTTTAAATAGACATTATTGAGGTATTTCTTCACCGTGACATTTACAAACCCAACTCTCATTATTACAGTGGTGTCAGGACCCTCTCTTCCCACTGAACCAAAAAATCAAACAGGGAAGAGGAGGGGCAGAAGGTCAATACAGTATATCTTGATAATGTGCTTCTCAAATTTATCAAGTATTTAACAAACAAGTAAAGGGGGAGGGGGGGACCCGTCCACATGTTTTACCTTTGGTAGAAAAAAAAAATTAAAACACAAAACAAAAGGGCAACACACACTTTGCCTGTCACTGCTCAAAAGCAACAGTGATTGCTGAGAGGTCATGGCCATGGATATCCTGCTGGGTTCAGAAAGCTACAGTTACAATCATGAAGTCAAAAGGATTCTCATTCCCTTCAAACGTGTGATGTTTCCAACTAGACTTCAAATTTCCCCCTAAAAGGGTATATCTGCAGACATTGGAATACAGAGATAAAACATTTTTTCTCTTGAAGAGAAAAGGAGACCTAAGGTCTTTATTTCTAATTCCTCCTAAATCCTCCAATAGATCAGATTAACCAGTAGTTTCATAATACTGAACAACATGGTAAAGGCATATATCTATTATAGTTCTTTTTCAGAGGGGGGAAAGTCTGATTGGTGAGAACCACTTGGGTTTCTGACTGCATTTACCTGACGTCTCTTTCTTTTAAAGGTTAATCTGGCGTTTCTCCTGAAGAAACCGGGTCTAGATTTATGAAAACATTTCTTACAGAGGTAGGTAGCTTCCCACTTCCACCCATTCCCCACTGGATTGATAATACTCTTCTTTCCAGAACCATCATATGCTAACATGAGGTAGATGACTTTTGCCAAAAGTGAGGTAGAAACTAAATGAAAGGAGTTAGGAAGCCAGAGAAAGCCTCAAGGCCTTGGAAGGAGCAGCTCTATGCAACCATCTTGCACAAGTTTGACTTTTATACAGCCCCAGACTGTTGGAAACTCAGTAAGAGCGATGTTCTAAATAAATACCCTAAATACTTTTTGGCACCACTGGTTTTGTTTTTTGTTTTTTTGGTTTTTTTTTTTTAATTTTTCCTTTTTTAAACAACAGAAAAACAAGCCTAAAACTTTGGCATATCTTTCACTATCTACCAGAACACAGAATCTTAGAATCTTCCAAACAGGAAGACAACACATAAACGAAGAATATTCTGCTGCTTCTAGCCTAAAAAAGACTTCCCTCTTCCAATAATTAAGCTTTGGCTTTCAGAGTAAAACACACTGAGCCAATCTCAAGCTGTTCTCTTTTCATTCCATCACAAAGTGCCTTGATCCTGGCAACTTCTTTGGCCCAAAATATTATTTTGATTCTGATTATGGTACCCTTGCATGTTTCCCCAAATAAGTTAGACTTAAAGGGCATTGATTGAGGGGTTAGTGCACCTGGGGTACAGCCTGGGCCACTGGGCTCCAGTCAACTCGGGCATCACCTGTCAGCCACAATTAAGCACAGGTTCTGAGATAGGATTTTCTTGTGACCAAGTTAAAAGAGAAATGATTCTTTTTTTAAAAAAAGGACTAAATTTTGAAATGTTAAGTTGGTGTCAAAGCATTTTTACCTATAGGTTAGACTGCCTTCAAACACCTCAATACTTAAACCTACATATGCAATTCCAATGGGCACTCCGAATACAGACTGACCTTAAGTCCTGCCACCTCCCCACTAACCACATCGGATAGGGACAACTGTTTAATTATCACTTACTCCCTAGAGACATTATATTCTGCCTCAGGGCACCCAGGACCTAGTCTTTTTCACCACATTGAAGACTCTCTCATCTTTGACCCAATTCCTACCTACCCTGGTATTACCTCTTCTGGGGCAGGAGACAAGCATTTGGAAACATGTGCTTTAGACAGCCTCACACCAGGGAGTATAACACGTTGGCTTTTTAAATCATCTTTCTTTGATCTGGAACATTCCATATAATACAATAAACACTCTCCAAAGTGCTTAGCACCAATCCCTATGGGTCAGGAGTCTATTTCAGGCAGCCACAAATGGCAGGTTGTTTTTAAAACAAAAGCTTCCCAAACGTGACCATGTTTCTCAGATGCCACTCATGCCCCACTTCAGGTGCAGAAAGGTAAGGAGCCATTCCACCACTGAGGCTACCGACACAACCGCTTCAGGGAGTGACCCTACCTGGGTGCTCTAAGTCTGCAAAGTGGTCCATCTATAATTAACCTGATTATTTCAGCCACGGAAAGGAAAAGGATTCACCAACAAAATCCACTGTAAAATGTTAGACAAAAGTCTTTTTTTTTTCCTACTGTTCTTCACCAAGCAAATAGGAGAAAAGAGTAAATGAAGATGGAATAAAAAATTCAAAAAGTGGTGTGACCAACTGAAATAACTTTTCCCAACCACAAATAATGACCTAGATTTTGGAAAACATTTTTAATCAAGACCCATTTCTTCAATTAAAAAAAGTTTTTTTTAAGGCATTTAAAACCAGTTGTTTTGGGCAGGCAGTTGGGAGAGGAAGGACAATCACCTCCAACCTACTGCAAAAACTGTAAGTCTTTAGTTACAAACATAAAACTAATGCAAATTTTTTTTTAAAAGTCTTTAGTTACATGAACTCTCAGAACTTACAGGAAAGATAAAATGTTAACAGAATAGAAATGGGAAATGATTAACTGTTAAGATATCAAAAAGAAGAGAGGGCTTGTACCACCTTCCTAACAACAATTTGAAGTTATTTTCTAATTTTTGGATCTTTGTTGGCATACAACTCTTCTTTTGTGAGATGAGTCTGTCCCCCCCGTCGTCGTCCCCCCCCACCACCATTTTGGTCACTCAAGAAAACCTAGAATTAAAGTGATGGGAGGAGGTAGCCTAGCTTGAACTGAAAAATCAAACATCTGCCTATGATCCCAGCTACTTGCTGGACAATTTTTGCAAGACCCCATCTCAAATTTTAAAAAGGGCTAGAGATATAACTTAGTGGTAGTGCACCCCTAGGTTCAATTCCCAGTACCTTAAACAAAACAAACAAATAATAAAGTAGAAAAGAGGTGGGTGGGAAAAGCAATTTGATTGACTTGTCACATTATCCCCATCATCATCTTTTCTTTGGGGATGACAAAACTAAATCCCTCCATTTGTTGATTCTGCTCTTTTAAAGTCACATCCATTTTGCAACAGCTCTTAAACACATGACCAAGAAACTGATCAGTTAAGTTAGTCTTTCTGTTTCAAACATGAGGTCTCCCTCATAAGCTACTGATGTCTGAGAGGACCTCTTTATCCTGAGTATCACTACTTCAGAATTTGGATCTGACCTCAGTTATTTGAGGGAAAGAGGAACCCACCTGGGTTCTAACAAGCAGTGTTAACTAGCTACACCAGCTTTCCACTTAGAAGACAGAAAATGCCTAGAAGCACAAAGTTTTATACCCAAGTCCAGCTAATGAAGAAACCAATCCTGTAAAGTGACACAGATGCCATCCCCGCCACCCCGTTCTGCAGAGGGGGGACTGGCTTACACAAGTTTTCATTCTTTGGTACCGAGATACAGGTTTAAGAAAAGTTTATCATGGCATACATTTCAGGTTGGGGTGATTTGGTTTACTAATCCTTTACATTCAAAGGCCTTGAGAGAAAAAAAAAAAAAATACACGTTAATCATGAGGTCCTATAGCGTCACTCGGGTGCAATGATTCTGTAAAAGTGACCAGAGCAGAGGGTATGGGAACGGACTGCTCCAATTAATGATGGTTAAACATTCTATTTCCCTGAACTTCCGAAGCAGGAAAAAAAAAATTGTGCTTTAATCATAAGTTTATTCCTTTGCTTCTCTTCTCAGGAAAAGAAACTCCTAGCATAACAGAACATTCACTCTGGGGTCAGGGCGGACCCCTGCTCCTCCTAAACAGTCCCTGGTTTGGGGGTGCCCTCTACCTACTCCTTCAGCACATGTCCATCCATGCCTAAAAACTCTCTGAGAATGATAATTTTCTTCTTCCTTCCACTGAACTCTTTCTAACCAATAATAAAATAAGTATAATCAACTTTTGAGAATACTTTTCATTAAGAATCCTGAGCTATACCTACTTTTTTTTAAGAAGCCAAAGTGTAAAGGAAAAAAAAAAAAAAAGGTTCCTTGGGATGTGCTGTGTCGTTCCCAGCTTTATTATTTTGGGTGCAAGATGGCTTAAAATACACGTGTGTGTGTGCCCTCGCGCACACACCCTCCCTAACAAAAAGATCAGGTGCCCTAAAGTACTAAAGGTCTGCTTTTCTTGGCTAGCAAGCCACAGCCACATCTCGCAGGAATAAAAAGAAAGATGCTGAAGGGATGTTAGACACACTGAGGTAATAAGAGAACAGAGGAAAGTCCTCTGTTGCAGCATTAAAAAAAAAAAAAAAAAAGATTTTTTCCAAAAACAAAAAGATCAAACCACACAACACAATCTAAACCCACATAAACACAGCATTCTCAAGAACACAAATAGTCTACAATTATGAATTTTAAATCCTATTTTTCCCACGCTTTATAATTTTTTGCCCTTTTTTTTTTTTTTTTTTTTTTTTGTTTTTTTTGGGTTACCTTGGCTCAATCTACAAAATACACCCCACCACACACATCCAGTGCCCTTGCAGCCGTAGAGATGCTAGGCTTGTGCATATCGCGCCCCACATGGGGACAAGGGAAATGTGAACTCCACTGAGGAAGGGAAGAGGGCCTGCTGGAGAAGGAAATGTAAAGATTTATGAGGTAGATAGAAATTATCACTTCACAGGCTCAATCCCTGCACAAAAGACAAGTACATTCATCTGTAAAAAAATAAAGATGAGGTAGGACTTAAGCAATGTTGTACTTTTCTTGTTCTCTTAACAAAAAAAAAAAAAAAAAATTTAAGAAAGAAAGAAAACAGAAATTTCCCTGAGACTGCTTCTTTGAAATTCAAAAAGAGAGAGACGAACACGCACACCCCAAACACAGAAACCTAGAAGACGCGATTTAGAAGATGAGGATTCGATTGTTGCCAAAGTCCACCACCACGATCATTCCATCAGGGGTGACTGCGATGCCGGAAGGGCGGTCCATCTGCCCAAAGCCACTGCCTTGAGCGCCAAACTTGCACAGGAAGCTGCCGTTGGCCTCAAACATCTGTACCCGGTGGTTCCTGGAATCGGCCACGATGATGCGCCCTTCCTGGTCCACAGCCACACCTTGCGGACGCAGGAACTGCCCGTTCCCGGTGCCCTCGGAGCCCAGGAAGCGAGCCGACTGGCAGTCGGAATGAATGACCAGGAGCCTGTGGTTGTTGAAGTCGGTGACCACCAAGTGGCCCTCGTGGTTGAAGGCCACACCCCGCGGGGAATCAAAGTGCTTCCAGAGAGCCCCCTCGAAGCCGTACTTATTCAGGAAGACGCCATCAGGCCCGAACAGCTGGATCCGGTGGTTCCGGGTGTCTGAGACTAGGATCTTGCCCTCAGAATTCACCGCCACATCCCAAGGGTAGTTGAACTGCCCATTTTTGGTTCCTTTCTCACCAAACTTGAGGAGGAACTGACCCTCAAAGGTAAAGATCTGGATGCGATGATTGTCCTTATCAGCCACCACGATTCTGCGTGAAGCATCGCAGGCCACCCCAGCTGGTCGGTCGAACTGGCCGGGCCGGGAGCCCAGAGTACCAAATTTGTGATGGAATGAGCCACAGGGCTTGAATACCTGGATGCGGTTATTGCTGCGGTCAGCGACAATAATGTAGCCCTCCTTGTCCACACTGACACCCCAAGGGCGACAGAGCTTGCCATCGCTATCACCCTCACTGCCGAAGCTCAAGCCTGGGAGCCCAATGCCCACGTAGCTGCGGCCTGATTTGACCACCACTTTGAAGGGGCTGTTCTCAATATGCTGGTTGCACATGGTCACCGACACCAGATGCTCGCCCTCTAGCTGGGGCCGGTAGCTCACCACGTAAGTCCCGTTCTGCTGGTCACTCACCTCTGCACCAAAGAGGTTGCCATCGGGGCCAAGGACTACAGCTGACATGAGGTCACCTCCCGAAAGGCGTGGCTCACCATCATGGTCGTAGCCAATGACAGTGAAGGAGGCAACCTTACCCTGAAGGGCCCGCTTGAGGCCATCACCTGTGGCCTTTGTGAGAGGTGCAAAGGCCCCACTGCTAACAAAGCCAAAGGACTTGATGGCAAGGTACAGTGCCTGGTCAGGGGGTGTGAACATGATCCGATCATCTTCCTGAGGCTGCAGGAGGCTCCCCACGGTCTTCAGCTCCTGCACTTGGGCCAGCATCCGGTCTCGGGCCAGGAGGATGTCCAGTGCCCTACCCTCCTCCAGGACCTGCTGAACGGCACTGATGGTGCTCTCTAGCTTGTTGAGGTTTTGCCGAAGTTTCTCAACCTGCAGGTACAGAGACTTGGCTTTCACCTGGCGGATCTTCTCTACCTGGAGGAAACGTAAGAGTAAGGAGAAAGGACACGGTTTTAAAAATCAAGCCCTCTGTATCCACAGGCCACATCCATAGCTTTAAGCTACTGCAGACAGAATACAATGGTGGTGGTGGTGGAGGGGGTATATGTGTCTGTACTTTTGTGTGTGTGTGTGTGGGGGGGTGGATGTGTGTACTGGGGATTAGAACCCTGGATCTTGTGCATGCGGGGCAAGCACTCTACCAACTAACTGGGCTATATTCCCAGCCCAGTTGTCTGTACCTTTTTCATTATCAGAGAAACCCACACTGGGAACCCTCTATAAAAGACAACGGGCTGGGGCTCAGTAGCAGAGTGCTTGCCTATCAATGTGTGAGGTACTAGGTCTGATCCTTAGAATCACATAAAAATAAATAAAGGCATCCTGTACATCTATGACTACCAAAAAAAAAAAAAAGATAACTGGCTTGGAGTTGGAAGTGGTAGAGCCCTCACCGAGCACATGCAAGGACCTGGGTTCAATCTTCAGCGCTGCAGAGGACCCAAATAAATAAATAAATCAGATTGGGGGGGGGATTTAAACCACCAAACCCACACAACTGGTACTTCTACTCTTTTTGATAAAATAGCAGAATCAAAATAGGCCTGGGGATGTGGCTCAGTGGTTGAGTGTCGCCGAGTTCAATCCCCAGTTCAAAAAAAAAAAGGTACCACCAGGGCTAAGGTTGTGTAGCTCAGTGATAGAGCGCTTGCCTGGCACATGTGAGGCACTGGGTCCCATCCTCAGCACCACATAAAAATAAAAGAAAAAGGTACTGTGTCCATCTACAACTAATATTAAAACAAAACTCCCTGGGTTTAGATTCAAACACCGCCCCCCAAAAAGTCTAATAAGCAGTTCCAGGTTACAGGAGATGACTACTAAGTTGTGACAACTAAATGCAATCAGTGATTCTGAATCCTGAGGTGTGGGAGAAACAGCAAGAAAGAACACTATTGAGATAACTACTGAAGTGTAACTAGGGACTGAGGCTTAGACACTGTTACAGTATTAAGATTAACTTCCAAGTTAATAAGAGTAGCTCAGTGGTAGACCAATTGCCTGACATGTACAAAGTCATAGTTCATTTAAAAAAAAAAAAAAAAAAAGCCAGGTCCCAGTGGCTAAGGCAGGAGGATCATGAGTTCAAAGCCAGCCTCAACAATTTAGTGACTGTCTCAAAATTTAAGAAATAAAAAAATGTGGGTGGGATTATGGCTCAGTGGTTAATTGCTCCTGCATTCAATCACCAGCAAGGGTGAGGGTGAGGGGAAGGCATGACACAGAAAAAGGAAAATTAACCTTTTTGCGGGACGTGGGGGCTAACTCAAGTATTTAGGGGGTAAAGAGGCCATTTCTTCAATATTTCAACTTATTCTCAAAATCATATCACATGCATGAATTTAAGCAACTGCTCATCAAAAATACTAGTGGAGGGGATGGAGATGTGGCTCAAGCAGTAACATGCTCGCCTGGTATGCGCAGGGCACTGGGTTCGATCCTCAGCACCACATAAAAATAAAGATGTTGTTGTATCCATCGAAAATTGAAAAATATTTAAAACCTCCCTCCCTCTCTCTCTCCCCCCTTTCTCGCTCTTTAAAAAAAAATAGTGGTAATTAATATTAAAAAAATACTGGTGAAAAATTCTATATTTACTAAACACATACAGACTTTTTTCCTTGTCAACCCTAAATAATACAGAGTAAGAATTATTTACACAGGGCTAGGGTTATATAGCTAAATGATAGAGCAACTTCCTAACATGCACCAAGCCCTGTATCCCCAATACAGGGGGATAAAAAAAATGCGATTATTTACACTATATTTTGTATTAAAAGTAAGCCAGAGATGATTTTAAAAATATAAAGGAATTGGGCATGGTGGTCCATTCCTGTAATCCCAGCTGAGAGGCTGAGGCAGGAAGGAGGATTGTAAACTAGAAATCAGGCTCAGTCAGAAATTTAAGGAGATCTTGTCTCAAAATAACAAGTGGTAGGATTGTAGCTCAGTGCGCTAAAGCTCCCTTGGTTTAAATTCAAACCTGGGGAAGGAAGGGGTGGAAGGGAGGAAAAGAAAATGGGGAGAAAGAGAAAGGAAGAAGGAGTGAAAAGAGAAAGTAAACAAAAACAGTTTTAAGCAGAGGAGTGAATGGATTTTTATGGCAAAAGTTTGGGTTTGTGGAGCATGACTGGGGGCGGGGGGAGAAAATGAGAAAGTGGACACTAGCTATCACCCAGGTGAGGGATGACTATAGCTTAGACAACAGAGGTGGCAGTGAAGATGGAGAGCCAAGTGGCAGAAAGGATAGCAGAGGCAGCACTAGAGGGACACAAGACCTGTCTCCATCAAAACACTGAATATTTGAATGTAGGTACACTAGGAGCCAGGGATCTCTTTCTCCCCGCCTCTCTCATCCATGCCTGCACACGTGCAAGAAGAGAGGAGATGTCACATGGAGAGTGTAAGGGGGGTTGGTGAGAGAAGGAAGGCAAGACAAAAGCCCAGTCACATAGAAGCTCTCTGCCTCTGTGTTTGGAGGAGTACTGAAGGCTGAACCCAGGGCCCCACACACACCAGCCACACGCTCTACCACTGAGCTACGTTCCCAGCTCTGTACTTCTGTATTTGAGAAACAGCTGGGGACTTAAAATGCCCTGCATCCAAAATCTAGAGATAGCAAGCATTTGGAAACAACGAAAGAAGCCCTCTACAACTAAAAAGCTAGACTACAGGAACGTAAACTCCAACCTGTAAAAATAATTTCTTCTTCTGAAAATTCTCAAACCACTTAGAAATATATTTTACCTAAACAATGAAAATAGAACAATTTCTCAATGTTTTTGTTTGTTTGTTTTGCATTTTAAAAGTTCTGTAATTCTAAGTGATTAACCCTGTGGAGGAAGTGAAATTCTCACTGTTTAAGGAAATCCACGCTTCTGAGTGCTCCACTGAAAGCCAATTTCAGATAAGAGCCCACTCTTCTGAGGCCTGGATTTTAATCTGATTTTCCCTTGAGGGGTGATGACGTGGGTTTTGACCCATTCATGCTTTTCCATCTGTTCTCCATGGAACCAGGACGTGTGTACAGAGAGGCCCATGTGGGATCAAATGAAAGTTTTTGTCCTTTGGTCTAATATAGACCAAACTTCTACCTTTGATTCTGACCCATGAAATTATGCAGCTGTAGCTAACCTCATAAGGTGGCTAGCCCAGTCCACTAGAGAGTTAAGTTGCAAGAATAAAGAGGGTGTCCAGATACATAACTGAGTGGACTGGCAAATTAAGACTTAGTCCTTACACTCTTCTATCTTAATGTTCAAGAAACAAACCCTTATACAACAAAGAGAAAACCAGACAGAGATAGGAAGAAAGCTTCTCCTAGAGCAGAAAAATTAGTAAGTGGTCAAAGACAAGGGAACTCTAATAGGATCAGGGGCAAGGATCCAAAGCAAAAAAAAAAAATCTATAAATCAAGACTGGGGGGTTATCCAGAATGAGCCACCTTGTTTCAAAATTATCACTTAAGAATGGGAGCAGGTAGAAACAATTGTATGAAGAAGGGCTGGCTCTTCCTTCTAAACACGCTAAAGAGACTTGATTTTCATTTCCCCTTAAGAGAACTGCCTTAAGAGAGAAGACAGCGGTCAGCCTCACACAGGAGGGAGCCCAGTAAAGGTGAGGGCCAAAGAAGCCCCCCACACAAAGGCCTTTTTCATCAGGAAATCCAGAAGAGCCAGTTTGTGGCAGAATTCACTACAAAGCTCTCAGGTTGCATGAAGTGGGGCCCCTCCAGTTATAATTAACATTCGTGGGTGGCATGAGACTGGCAGACCCAAGGGGACATCTCAGTGTCTGAAAATTATGTCATACCCATAAAGGCATTCAAAAACATGTGCTGAATTAAATCTTGGGCCGATCCACCCCACCCTACCCCTGCCCACCCTCTTCTTGTTACGAGGCAATTAAACCATATCTCTTAAGAAGTCAGAAGGGACAGGAGAGTTTTGAGGTTAACCAAATGGAAAGTACAATGAAACTTAAAAGGGTCACTTTCAGAAATGGAGCCACTGTTGTACCGTCGCCCCTAGCGTCGTACAACCAAGATGAAAACAAGCCCACAAATGCATTAGAAGTATGGCCTGTTAAGTCAGCAATGTGGTCCTATCTATGTTCAGAGAACACTGACTAATTTAGTTTAAAGAACTGGCATAGGGTACCGGCCCATTTATAGACTGCATCTTCCTGGGTGGGAATGCAAAATCAGAAAAGGAAAAATTGAGATGTGGACTAGGGGTGGGGCGAGTGGTCTTTTCGGCTGATTCTTATCTGAACAGCACACCACCAGTGCACTCAGCGCTCTTTCCTGCTCGGACAGGAAGAAAGGGCACACTTGCTGCCCTCCCAAGTGGAAAACTGGCTTTCCACTGGGGTCAGGAAGTGCAACCAGCCAGGACACCAAAAATAAGAACGTTTCCTACCAGCCTGCCTTGCCCCAACAACAGTTTTGATTGTTCTCCCTTCTTTCTGCCTCCTTTTGAGTGTGTGCGATATAAAACTCGAGGCTCCTTCCAGTCTTGGTTACCCAAGTACATCTGAAAAGGCTTCTTGTTGTTTTGCTGCACGCACAGCACCCACAATGTTCCAGAGACCACCCCCCTCGTCCTTCTGGAACATGACCAAATGTTCCAAAACCAGAGCTGGGACTAGGATTTCTGTACAATTTCCTCGGCTGGTGGGGGGCAGAGGTGGGCGTGGGGGTGATGAGCTCCCCGTTACCTTCCACAGCAGTTCGCACTCCCGCTCCTCCAGGGCCTTCTTATGCCTTGCAGTCACAGCCTTGACCTCCGACTGTACCACCTTCGCCTTCATCTCCACCTGTTCTGCCACCGTCTGGGCCTGCTCGATGCTCAGCTAGAGATTAAAAAGAAAGAAAGACAAATCCCTGAGGCCTCAGAACAACCTCTATTCCTCGTGCGTTTATTTCTACCAGACCTGAAGAGTGACCGGCCAGTCCACTTGATCCACTTTCTTGGAGAGAAAGCAGGCACTCGGGAGAGAGTGGCATTTGTTAGACATGTAACTGAAGGAGCTGCTGGCAAGAGCTGGGTTTCTTGATATGAGAAATGGCACCTACACGGTGGATGTCAGACTATTAAGAGACTGACACAGTGAAACCAGTGCAGCTGGGCGGCTGCCGAAAACCAGAAGAGGAGGATCAGATACATCGTGTACAACTCCGGACACACAAGAAACTTCCTCGGATCTGATGGCCTGGCTCCTGACTGGGGGGAAATCCTACAAGCCAGGTCTGTCTCTCGCATGAGGAGATACCAGAGTTTAGTAGCTAATCCATCAGGGTCTTGTCCAGTCATCAGCAGCTTGGCTTGTCCTGGCCTGAACCCACACCAAGTGCACACTGGGAATATCACCTGTTCTAACTCAGAAGCTGTGCCCTGAGGGTCAGAGACTGTCTACACACTCCACAACCTGTACTACCAGCCCCAGTAAATCGGCAGGTTTAATCAGACATATTATTGTTCATAAAAAATTAATCCAGACAGAAGGCTCTGTGTTTTCATTAATATTACATGATGAGTGTTCAAAAGCCACGAGGATTTCTTTGAGGTACTGGGGCATTACATCAGGGATTCCAACCTGACTGCTAATGGAGCAACAAGTTTTAGAGTAGGTGATCCAATAAGGGGACCCTGGAGGCAAAAGGTTTTGGAGGTTGACCTGGGCTGAAGAATAAGAAAGGTATAGACTGGGGGTAGTCAAGAATATGCCACGGCTATTGCTAAAACCTGGGACAGTCCTGTGCAAATCAGGCAGGTGAGTCAGGTCAGCTTAACCCAGGGTCAAATCCCAGCTCCTACTAGCTCTAAGGACGAGGGCACGTTCCCAGTCCTCTCCAACCTTGGAAAGGGTAAATGGGAGGGAGATCCAAGGCAATAGGTTAACAGGCTAAACCCAGCACCTGGCATGGAGTAGAACACTGTGGTTGCTAATAATTCTCAACTAATAAATGCCTGGAACTCAAGTTCAACCATATGTCTCCACAGCTTGCATCATAAATGAATTTGGATCACATACCTAGACTTTGCATATACAAGGCCCTGGGTTGGATCCCCATTCCCACAAAAAAAAAAAAAAAAATTATACATCAGAAAAGCTACTGTTTTTTAATGACATTGAGTGTTTTCCAACCATATAACTATCTAGATCCAGAATATTGCCAACACTTAAAAATAAAACTCTAAATCTATGAGGCAGGCACCCACTAGTTTTTCTTTCTCCCATGGAGACCACTAATCTGCCCTCTGCAGATTTGTCTGTTCGGGAGATTTGGTACAAACAGCATCAAACAATACATGACCTGGATTTTTTATTCTATGGTACTAGGACTCAAACCCAGGATCTCATGCATACCAGGCAAGAACTCTTTCACTGAGCCACACCCCCAGCCTGACCTTATTCTTATTAATATTTCTCCAGCCCAATAACTTTGACATGTTTCACCAGGTATTGCTGGAGCCTCTACTTGCCACATTTAATCCTCTTGGTCCAGATAACAGTTGACACATTCCTATTATGCAAGCAACACTCATAGTACAAATGCCCAAAACACCCTAGTTTCAAATAATTAACTACCTACCCTCACTCTATCCCACCCCCTCCGCAAGGCTTAAGAATCCACTGAGATGGTCACATCTGGCACTGAGCAGATTTGGATGGTTCACAGCCTGTGATGTCTTCTCACCTTCAGTTTCAAAGCCAAGCTCAGATGCCCCTTTTTTGGGGAAGCTAGGGTGTACCACACTTGTACACAGTGTTTCTGCACTATCTTTACAGCCCTGTCCCAAGTGCTATGGCATGTCAAACAAAGTGGGGATTAATACATAGTCTAAAGCACTAAAGTCAATTTGATGCAAGTTAAACATTGTAGATTATAGGACGAATCTATAAATTTTCTATCTGCTTATGTCTGGCCATAAGCATGTTTACCAAACTTCAAGTGGCTGAACTGGATTAAATATTGTCCTCTCAAAATAACAGGTATATCTGAAGCCTCAGAATGTAACCTCCTTTGGATAAAGTTTATGAGCTGGGCATGGTGGCACCAGTCTATAATTCCAGCTACTCAGGAGTCTGAGGCAGGGAGGACTGCAAGTTGAAGGCCAGTCTGTGCAACACAGGGAGACCCTCATCTCAAAATACAAATTGTATAAGGGGGTTGGGGGAGTACAGCTCAATGGTAGAGCACTTGCCTAGCATGTATGAGACCCTGGGTTCAATCCAAAGGAAGGAAGCAAGCAGGGGTAGGAAGGGAGAGAAAGTTAAGCTTATGAAGAAGGAGGTGGGAGAGGGAGGAGGAAAAAAGAAAAATAAGAAGGGGAGAAGAAGGAGGAGGAGGAAGGAGAAG